GGGGGGGGGGGGGGGGGGGGGGGGGGGGGTAAAGGTGGCGGCTGAATCGAGGCCAAGCCACAACTTGGCCTCGATTCATAATGGGAAGCCTGAGGCAGCACCTCTCTGCGCCACACGAGAGAACTCCTGCTCTCTGAATGGAGGGAGGATATTGAAGTGTCACTAAGAGGAAACAGAAGAGGAGAGTCAGTGATGGAAGATGGTTCCTCATTTCCAAAATCTATTACCTCCTCAAGAGGTGTTGACTTGACCCCGTCTGTACGAAACAGGTGATCGACATGTTACTTGCCGTCGTAAAGTGAGGATTACACACGGGAGCTAGCCGGGGGATTAGCGTGTTGCATACATGCACCTGCACAGGTTTCTAATGTTTACTGGACGTGTTTGTCTTGGTCCTCCTGCAGCTGGGGGGCCTGACCCTGCTCGCCATGGGGATCTGGGTGAGCGTGGACGGGAGCTCGTTCCTGCAGCTGCTGGGGCCGTTCTCCAGCCAAGCCATGCAGTTCGTCAACGTGGGCTTCTTCTGCATCGCCATCGGGATCGTGCTGGTGCTGCTGGGGCTCCTGGGCTGCTGCGGGGCCCACAAGGAGAGCAAGTGTCTGCTGCTCACGGTACGTTCGTCAAACAAGTGCAGACGGTTCTTAGGGGCCTGATCTGGATGCTAACATTTAAACATGCATGACGGAGTTTTCTGGCAGTTGTGCTACGACTCTGATGTTTTCTAGTTCTGGAAAATAGGAAACAGACAGAATGAGCTGAGGCTCCTGGAGAACATCACAGTGGTTGATAGGAGTCGTCAAATCTTTTGTGCGAGAATTCTCTAAACTTAGCGACGACCAACTGACCAGTGCACCGCTGCGTTGAGTCACTTGATCATGTAACTTTCTGTGAAGCGTCTAGAAAGGCCTCTCAGACACTGTGTTGTCCTGCGTCTCGTCTTAAAACATTAAAAATTCACACGTTCATCCGTTCCTCTCTTGTGCAGCGGACATTAACCGTTAACAATTAACTAAGCACTTGTGCTCTTGCCTTCTAATGCAAGTGATTTATTAAGGTGTTTCCCAGTAAGACTCATCGAGACACTGCTCATCACCAGATAATATCCACATCGGCCCCCTCCCGCCCCCTCCCACCTCATCAACACCACCAGCGCCTGAACATCACGGTACATTATTAGGCTCATTAACGAGCGGCCTAACTACCTCTTAGTCCACTGCAGTGAGTCTAATGAGGAGAACAGGCAGAACACCCCCCCCCTGCAGAGCCTCCATCACGTCCACACGTCCCATCCAGCTGAGTGATGACGCCGCAGCACGTCCTGCGACCACGCAGGAGACGATACGCCGAAAATCAGTCCACGATGTTTTAGCAGAGAATTGATTTCTGGAAAATGTTTTTTTTTATTACCGCCGTCGAGGAGATGATGGTTTCACCTCAGTCAGTCTGGTTTGTAATCGATGGGCTAAAACTACAGATTAGAAACTATCGTGGTGGAAGAACGTGGAAAAGTTCAGGGAGGAACTGACGATGTCGCGCGATGGAGAGTGAGAATAAGTTCTGGATCTTGAGGACAATAATCAGACATATCAAGGGGCCCGATATTTATGAGTGTAATCTGCTGCAGATCCAAATAAAAATCCAGGGACTGTTCAGACTTTTCAGAGTTAAAACTGTTTGGTTTGTATTTGATTTATTCAGATTCTCATTAATATTAATGATGCAGTAAAATCCCGGGAACAATTTTTCATCTTCATATTCTTCGTGTCGTCCAACCAAACAAACCAATCTTTACACGTAGGATCTATCTTTAAAGCTGGAGCTGGATTTTTAGAAGCCAAACAAATAAAACCTTAATTAAATATTTTATTACTTAGTTAATTAAACATCTTCCCTGTGTGACCTTTACCACAATGTTTTATAATGGTAAACATTTTTTTGCTAATGTCTATTAATAATAATTATGTGGGAACATGTTGACGTTGCTGTCTGATAATAAAACGTGCTGATGATCAGTCAGATGCTGAGACCGTGAGGATTTTGCTGCTTTGCTCTGTTTTACATTGAATCTCATTGGTTTTCAGACAGTTGGAATGAAAAGAGGGAATTTGAAGGTGTCACCTTCTGGGACGGGTTCATCTCATCCATCATTTTAAAGACGAGACGAATAACCAATGAATCACTGATGAAAATAATTGTTGGTTGCAGCCTTAATGTTATTTTATCTGTGGGAGACTGAAGAGTGACGGACTTTATCGTTTATTAGATTGTGTTTCTATGAAGAGTAAAACCTCCTCCTCCTCCTCCTCCTCTGAACAGTTCTTCTCCATCGTCCTCATCATATTCATCGCTGAAGTGGCAGCAGGAGTCGTGGCTCTGGCCTACTCTTCATTCGTAAGTTCCCCACTTCACCTCCTCCTCTTTATTTCAAGGCCTAGTGACATCCCAGTCCTCTTTCTCCTCTTCCACTGCTCCTCTTCACCTCCTCTCCCTTTGTCTCTTAATTCCTCTCGCGTCTCTCTCTGTTGTTCTCTTTCACCCCCGTCACCCCCACGTCCCACTTTCTGGATTTTATCTCCATATAAATTCTCCATCATAGCTGCGGCCATCATTGAATTACTGGCTTTATGTCCGCCTCAGTACATTCAGCTACTTAATGACTGCGGGATGGCCTGGGGCTGTGTGTCTCTCACTTTGAGCAATTTATTACTCTGGAATATTGAAGCTAAAGCATTTTATATGCAAAACAGCCTATTTACATACGTGTCCGCCTCTCTCACACACATGCACACACCTATATGCTCACACACACACACACACACACGCTCCATTTCCATTTAGTGCCTCATATAATAATTACAAGGATTTCAAATGAACTACGTAAAAGCAGGTTAGTGAAGACTGGGATCCTAATAAAGGAAATAGAAAGTGGAGTTTTTTATCCAATCAGACGATGCATCAGAGGCCCCAGGACCTGAGAGAGGTAATCTAAGACGCATCCGTCTGCGGCGAGGAGCTGATGAATGGAGGAGCTGATGAACGGAGGAGCTGATGAACGGAGGAGCTTTGGACGGCACAGCTCGGGAATTTCATTTGTTTGTGCGTCTGCACTTGGTAGAACAATCTGCAACTGCAGCGCAAAGACGATCAGAGAAAACCAGCTGAAGTGGTTGAACTCCATGAAACGATCTGTAGCTGCTCCCAGACCAGCACACTTCTGTATGCGACAACACAAATGTCCGAGGCAACAGCTCCAGACTTTTTCTGGAACTTTCCCTGCAGAGGGAGTCCGTGTGAGAAAAGAGCAGGAAAATGTGTAAAATGAGGTTTCCAACACGTGACGGACGTGAGACTGGAAGAACACAAATGTCTCAGGATGAAGAAGAGGAGCCGCACACGTCGAAGACGAAGACGTCCACTAACAAGAAGCTGTTAGAACCTTTCATTTCCTATCAAGCTCCGTTCTGACTATCAGGAGAAAAGATTTTGCAGCAAAGAGAATAAAAACAACACAACTGTAACACAATACACAGCTCCTCTGGTCTGAGGAACCTCTCACACCTGAAGCTCTGAAACCACCAAAGGTACTTAGGACTAAACTACAGAATAAACCACAGAAGCACCTTTTTGTTGTGGTCTCTAACTCCTGCTCGTCCTCTTGTAGTTTCTCGTTTACTCTGTCGTGCTGTGAATCCCGGTCGTGTCCAGAGTGTGACCTGCTCTCACACAAAGAAGCTGTGTGAGTGTTTGTGTGTGTTTTCCTCTTGTGTGTCCTTGAACTCAGAGCAGTGAGTATTATTATTGCTGCTGCTGCTGCTCAGGTGGTTTTGTTGGAATAAATCTTCCCCATCTCTCGCCTGTCATTTACAAAAGCTGAGCTGACCAAGGTGAGCCATGCAGTGTGTGTGTGTGTGTGTGTGTGTGTGTGTGTGTGTGTGTGTGTGTGNGTGTGTGTGTGTGTGTGTGTGTGTGTGTGTGTGTCTGATCTGTTGTCCAGAGCTCAGTGAAATGCAAGACATAACTCATAGATTTGTCTTCCTTAAGGAGATCTCCGATATGGTTTAGAGTCAATTTAACGCACTGTTTGTTAGCTTTAGCATCATCTGTTCATTACAAACACAAAGGACGTCTTCAGCTCCATCGTGGACACGAGTGTGAGAGCAGCTGTCCATCTCCGTCTTTTGATAAGACACAGTAAACACAATGGCGTCAGAATAATGAATATGGGTAATATACATCTAATATGCATATATATAGCCCCCTGTGTCAATAAGTAAGAGACAGAGGCGTGGACAATGAAAGGAGACGATAAATAAAGCCTTGATCTATTCTATTCTACTTATCTGCAGCATAAATCTGCCTCGTGGCCGCCGGGCCTCCACAGCTCATCTGAGCGAAGAGCCAATAACCTTCAGGTGGTCGGAATAACGGAGATTTAATAAGCAATTCCAGGAGGCATTATGAGAGGCCGTCAGTGGTCATGGTTGTTCTTACCCCGCCAGTTATCCGGAAGTGACCAGAGTGGAGATTTATTACCGGGGGCAGAGACGGGCTTCACCGTGGATTAATGAAGGAGGCGCGATGTGGAGTTTAATGAATCACACTCTGACACGTGAGCACAGCGAAGGAATGTCCTCTTAAAGAAACCTAATCCACTTCAGATTACTGTTTGCTTTCATTTCTCGTCAGCGAGCGGATTAGCTGGAGTTAGTCATGTAAGATGATTAACTCCCAATTACTTCTGCTTTACGGCTCCGCTAATTAACATCTTTATATTAAAAATAGAAAAATATTCCACCAGATTTCACTCAGAGCGTCAAACCCTCTGAGAATTATTTCAAACTGCAGGTTTCAGTCGTGGTTCAGTCGGTGTTTCCAGCAGCAGGTATGTTCTCTTGAAGCAGCTCTAATAAACCCACTGGGCTCCACAGACTCAAACAGCAGCTGTGAAGCCGAGCAGACGTGATTAGTCACTCGCTGGTGAACACGCCGGAGCGTTTAGCAGGTAAAGAGCCAGAGGAGAGAATAATAGATTTAAATTCATCAGAAAGACGCTTCGCTCTGGATCTGCTCGAAGCTTCAACTGATCTGAAACACGAGACAGCTACACCTGTCGAGAAGATATTTCCAGACACTTACAAGAAGGTTGAAATGAAAGTGCTCCACTTGTCTCGCTTACGACGGAGAATTAGGTTTACATCTATAACGAGGAAAGAAACATTTGAGATTTCTAGAATAATCTCGTAATATTACAAAGTCAAAGAAAATAAAGAGGGACACCGTGTCTCCTCTTCCTCCCACGATCCAGAAATAAAAATCCTGGATATGAAGCTGCGTGTTGGATTGGTTGGATTTTTGTTGTGAACAACAGTGAAGTCGTTCGTTAAACAATGAGCTTCAGATATGTGATTATTCTCTACATTTAATCATCTATTCACCCTTCCATCCATCCTTCTATTCATCCATCAATCCTTCCATCCATCCTAGGGTTAGGGCAGTAAAATGTGTTTTTAATGAAACAAAGATAATCCAGTATCTTTACTTTTGAACTGGAGCTGAACTCTGTGTCTTGATAACAAAATACATTAGAGGCACAAACTGCAGCTTTTTCTTCTCGTGACGAAGGTTTTCATTTATTGCTTTTCCTCTTTAGAACAATGACCAATTAGCAGCCGACAAGTCGCTGCGGTAAAAGATATCGATAATAATTAGAAAGACACTGTAAAGAAAGAAGAGATATAAAAACATGTGAAGCTGGAGATTGTGGCGTGTGTGTAGTTGTTCACTCCACCACTGTCTTATCGCCGCCCTGTGCTGTGTGTTACTGTGGGCTTTGTCCTGCCTGTCCAGCATCAGCGTCAGTGTGTGTGTGTGTGTGTGTGTGTGTGTGTGTGTGTGTGTGTGTGTTTAACGGGACGTGGCGAGGCGCTGGGCCGAGTGACAGTGATGAATTAGCCTGCTGGTAATAACCTTCTCTGATCTCAGCCACTCTCCTAGCTTCTTGGGGGGCACTTTTAATTGTGGCATGTATCCCAGCATCCCCTTGGGCATGTTGTACGCCTGCTCCCTCTGATGTACACACGTACACACACACACACACACACACACACACACACACACA